TTCATTCTCCCTTGCTCCCGAAGGGGTGAGTCCAGTGGAGTATCTTAGATGGCTGCTCACAGGCTTTTAAGATCCTAGACGCTGCTCACCAAGGAAGAATGTAGAACATTGTCTTTATAAACTCTGTTATGCCAGTTGAGCTAGATGTTCCCGCAGACCATGGTTCCCACAGCCTTCAGCCCAGCAGTTCGGTCCCTCAAGGAGTTTGGATGTACCTGTGGAGCTTCCATGACCTTTCCTTGTACAACTTGTACTGGCTCCCCCAGTATTGTGTACTGTTTAGTTCATATTTGAATAACCTAATATGTATGCAAGTATACTTAACTTATAAATGTGAAATTAGAGATTCAGAATCCTCACAATTTAACTTAAAGTTTTATGTTGTGCAAGATTCTAAGATGGAGTAATTTAATTAATCTTGTATGTGTGACTTAGTGTGTAATTACAGAGTTATTAGAGATAATATGCAGATACATTCTTTGATTTGGAGTGTTTCTTTATGGTTCTTATGTGGGTGATTTCTGCTTCTATGTTTCTGGTTTCGTGATGTGCTTTAATATTGCAATGCTTACAAGTAACTCTGCAGACTATATCACTAAGCTCCAACCATGCAGACTTGGAGTATGCGAGATAGTTTTCGGACTTGTTTGTTTACTGGAGGGGGAGGGAGAGGAGCTTGCGTTACAGTTTCACTCTCTGTTGTGTTTGAGTCAACAAAATAAATATATTGTAAGAAATGCCCAACGGTTACTGATACATTTTTTTTCTCCGTCGTCTTTCTAGGAGCTTGCTTACCATACTAGTAATTTTAGGGAAGGGAAGGAAAAGTGATGCTGTTGTACTCGGGAAATCAGTTTTCTATTTGTGTGATTTGTTTAATTTGCTAACATTGTTGATTTTATTCTACTATGTTCAAGTTCATTGCTGACAGGATTTTACAGCTACTGAAGTATTTTTTATTTTTCCTTAGAATTCACATGAAAATTTCATTAACATTTGGTTGGAAATTTAACTTTATAGACTTTCTTTCTAGGAAATGAGTCAGTTTCATGTTTTTTGTTTAATAAGTAACAAATTAATTGAGATCGTGTTCAGTTGTATCAGAGCGTTTGTTATCTTCACCTCTAAGCTTTCTTTTCATTTACAGTAGTTTTGTAGTATGGGAGATAAATGACACTGAATTTTCTGCTTTTTGTTTTAAAGACTTTCAACTGAACTCTCATCTCTCAACACTGGCAAATATTCATAAGATCTACCACACCCTTAATAAGCTAGTAAGTCAGTCTCTTAAAGACAAAACTACCAACTGTTTAAAGTAGTTGTTTTGTGTAAGTGTATTTGATAAAAATTTAGATTATGGGTATTAAGATATTAGCTGTTTATGAAAACACTGAATTTTAAAATTTGCTGTATGGTAGATGATTTCTTGGTAATAATGAACGTATTTCTTGCAGAATCTAACAGAAGACGTTGGCCAAGACGATCACCAAACAGGTATTCTTAAATGCTAGCGTTAATTTTTTTAAATTGAGGTGAAATTCACCTAACATAAAATTATCCATTTTAAAGTGAACAATTCAGTGGTATTTACTATATTTATAATGTTGTGCAACTACTGCCGCTCTCTAACACTAATTTTAAATAAACGCTGTAATATAAAGTTTTGAAAGAGCGATACTAGCGAAGAATGCTCTATGTTGTCATACGACGCTCTATTACAAGTTGTTATTTGGTAGAGAATGTTTTTCAGGGTGTAGTGGAGTCGGCCGTGTTATAGCTCCTTCCCAGTAGGAAGTCTGTTCTGGTGCTCTGGTATATGACAAAGCAGTTTAATGCCTTGAAAGGGGCTGAGGATTCTCCTTAGTGGTTTCAAGATACCATTTCTTTGCTGAAACAGTTTATACTAAAAAGGTGCTACGGTAATGCAGTTTGAAAGACATTACGTAAATGTTGAATTGAGCTGAAAAATGATTTTATAGTTTTTTTTGTGTGTGTTGTACAGGTCTTGAGGAGTTATGAATTGCAAAGTTGAAGCCTGATTACTGTAAATTTTTCTCTGTCCCTGTGGTTCTCAAACTTGTGCTAGCATTATAACCACTTGGGAAGGGCTTTTGAAAACACTGATAGCTAGACTCCACCCTCAAAGTTTATGATTCTGTAGGTTTGGGGTGGGGTCCTAGAGTTTGCATTTCTAACAAGCTCCCAGGTGATGCTGATGAAACTGGTGTGGGGACCACACTTTGGGAACCTGTTGATAATCATTAAGTTCAGAAACTTGTTCTTGATCTATAGCTGTTAACTTCCAGCAAACATTATTAAAATACACTTAACATTTTTTGAAAATTTCAACAGTAGTAAATGAATACATGCTTGTTGGAGAATATGAATAGCAGAAAAGTAAATGAAGTAAAAAGGGACAGTTCTTCACAGCCCATCTCCCAACCCTTCTACTTTCCCCACAGTTCACTGTTTAGTTATGTTTCTTTCAGACATTTTTATACATGTATATATTTTATAGTAGTGTTTGTTTTTTAATTTAACATCAGTAGGATTGTACTGTACATATATAGAATCTTTTCATTTTTCATTTTATATACCCTGGGGACTGTTGGGATTTAGGACTCTCCCCACCCTCCCCTCCACATTGGCTCATAACCAGTTGAGAATTAGGCACAAGAGTCAGATGGAGAGTAAAGTAACAGTTTTGTTGGAAAATAAAGCTTAGATGTGCCACAAGACTTTTCAGTATTTCCCCTGAATTAGATAGCCTTACACTCAGTCACTGCCACAACTAGATAAGTAGAGGCCAGCACACCTGCTGTCCCTCCTTCACCCTCTGTATGACAGTGGACATGCCTGAGCTGCTCTAGTGGCAGGCAGAGCTGAAAGAGTTCAGAAGGGCTTGGGCCTCTCTGCTCAGTTCCTTCTCCCTGAATCGGCAGTTAGACACCCTTCTAAGGGGAAGGAGTGTGAGTAGGGGGCAGAGACCAAGGTCAGGAGTGGTCTAAGCCTGATCTCACCTGATCTTTCTGTGGCAATTAAAAACAATTTCTTTAATTGTTTTAAAAGCAATGAATGCACATGGTTTTAAAGAAAGTATCAAAAAGGTATAATACAAAATATGAAGGTGACTGTCGTAGTCATCTAGTACTGCTCTAACAGAAATACCACAGTGGATGACTTTAACAAAGAGAAATTTATTTTCTCGTAGTCTAGTAGACTAGAAATCCAGATTCAGGGTGTCAGGTCCAGGGGAAGGCTTTTCTGTCTCTGGAGGAAGGTCCTCGTTGTCATCAGTCTTCCCCTGGACTGGGAGCTTCTCTGCGCAGGAACCTCGGGTCCAAAGGACGTGCTTTGTGCCTGGTGCTTCTTTCTTGGTGGTATGAGGTCCCCAATTCTCTGCTTGCCTCCCTTTCTTTTTATGTCTTGTAAGGTAGAGGGTGGTGCAGGCCACACCCTAGGGAAACTCCCTTTACATTGGATCAGGGATATAACCTGGCTAAGGGTGGTGTTACAATCCCACCCTAATCCTCTTTAGCATAAAATTACAATCACAAAATGGAGGCCAACCACACAATTCTGGGAATCATGGCCCAGCCAAATTGATACACACAGTTTTGGGGGGACATAATTCAAACCATGACAGTGACTGTCATTCCATTCTATAATCCCTAGCCCCTTCCCCTACTAGTACTCCACATTTGACTCTCCAGAGGTAACTCTTAAGTTTCTTATATTTGTTTCCCGAAGATGATGATAATAATAATAGTAATAACAATTACTATTATTAATGAATTTTTTTCCCAAATGCAAGTTTACACTTGTATGCGCCACTTGTTTTTGTCACTCAGTAAATCTTGGAGATCTTTTTGTAGCACATTTATAAAGATTCTGCTTTCTTCTTTAATGACTGCATAATTTTCTAATTCATGGATCTATGTTTCTCCAGCCTCCTACTGATGCACGTTTAAGTTTGTTTAACTTTTAGCTACTGCTGGTGATGCTGAGTGGGAAAAAGATGTGGCAGTCTGCTTCCGTAAAGATTACAGCCTTGGAAACCGTATGGGGCAGTTCTACTCTGTCCTACAGGGTCACAATGAGTTGGAATCAACTCAACAGCAATGAGTGTGGGTAGTAATGCTGCAATAAAATTTTCAAGGCCAGGTTTAATAATTAAGAATTAACAACACTTTTCTCTTTTATTCTGGAACAGTGTGTTGGTGAACTTTATGGATTTTTTTAAACCTAATAATTGATGTAGTGTTAAGTATTAAAACTGATTTTTGTGTTTGTAAAGCTCTTAGGTTGTCTTTCTCTTACCTGTGAATCCCATGCAAACCAGTTGCTGTCGAGTCACCTCTGACTCGTGGCTATCCCCTGTGTGTCATGGTAAAACCGTGCTCCGTAGAGTTTTCAATGGCTGATTTTTCATAGGTAGATCACCAGACCATTCTTCCAAGGTGCCTCTGGGAGTACTTGAACCTCCACCTTTTGGATAGGAGCCAAGTGTGTTAACCTTACATTATGCAGTTAATTTTGAACTTCTGGTTTAAATGACTTTTGTTGTTGTAGTAATTTCACATCTAAATATTTAACCTGAAATGTGGCGATTTAATGACTGCGCTATAAGGAAAACGAAAGAAGTCTGTTTGGCCTCATGCCTTCTCTTTTGCCTTTGGGGACAGTGAACGTGTCTGATGTTTGGTATATGAAATGCTAGTGCAGTGCCTGGTACCTTGCAAGTGCCTGATGTCAATTAGTGTTAGTAATTTCTTAAAGTAGTCCATTTTATTAGTATTTCCCCATCTGGTTATAGCATCCCCTTGTGATTACTGTATCTGACAGAGTACATTTAAAAATTAAATGGAAATTAAATGGAAATCTTCTGAGAAAGTTTAATTACTGTAGTGCTTCGTTTCTTGGCCCAACAGTAGTCTACAAGAGTAGTATCAACATCTTTATGTGGAGGAGCCGAACCTAGTGCAAAAGAGGCTGCGTATCTTTGTGTTCTTTATCCGCTAACACTTTTCTTTTGTGCTCCCAACCTTCCTCCTGCCAAAAAAAAAGAGAGAGAGAAAGAGAATGAATGAATAGTTGATTTTGGAAAAGTAGCCCAAAATAGAGACAATATATTTTAAAAAGCCAAACAGAGAGACAAAAAAGAAACAAAAAAAATGAGGAAGAGGATGATAGATATCTTAAGTCAATATTATTTAGAGAGAAAAGTAAGGAAATTTCCTGTCTTAAATAGTAGAATAAAAACTGTACATTTAGAAACTAATAGTTTTACCCAAGCATGCAGGCAATTTAATGATCTGTTCAAGAACATGAAATAAAATATTAAGTACTGGGAAGATGTCTTAAAATGCAATATTATTTAGTAACCTAACTTACTGTATCTTTGTGACATTGTTCAGTAAAGTAATGAAGTGAAATAGCTATGTAAAAAGCACTGAAGTGGTTTGAAAGTGCTCCGAGTTAAGAACAAACCATGTAAATGTTTTTAAGTGAAACAAAGACTATGATACAACAGACTCTTTTACGTGAAAAATAAGACAGTGAAATTTTTCTATTAGAACTTGCATTTGTACTCAGTTTGGAAAAGTAAGAAAAATTCTGTTGTTTTGTAGACATCTGGTTTGGGGATGACTAGAAATTTGCCATTCCATTTGATAAATCTTACAGGAAATGAATAATGACAAGACTTTTTTTACTTGAGGACCACAAAGCAAAACGACTGGGGGAGGGGAAGGACAGTGGAACATCTACTTAGACACCATTTATTAGCAATAACTTGCTTAGTTAAATTATCGTCAAAACAGCAAGCTGGATAGACATTAAAGGGCATCTGATCTGATCCAGGTGAACTCAAGTTGCTTTTTAAATTGATTTTCTGGAGCAAATACTGGGATAGACTTGTTGAAAAGTGTTGACAGTATAGTATATTTCTAATTGTTTAATGTGGGAAGAAAAAGCTGTATTTATTGACTTTCTGATTTATTTGAAAATACAATAAGTTAATAGAATAATTTGTTCCTTTTAAACACTGATTATAGCCAAAAAGGAATGAGTCTGAAGTCATATCATAGCCCTTGTAAAAATGACACGTAATTTTTTTTTTTTATTGTGCTTTAGGTGAAAGGTTACAGCTCAAGTTAATTTCTCATACAAAAATTTATATGCATATTGTTATGTGACTCTAGTTGCTATCCCTATAATGTGACAGCACACTCCCCCTTTCCACCTCAGGTTTCCTGTGTCCATTTAACCAGCTTCTATCCCTTTCTGCCTTCTCATCCCGCCTCCAGACAGGAGCTGCCCCTTTAGTCTCATGTATCTACTTGAAGTAAGAAGCACATTCTTCACAAGTATTATTTTATGTTTTATCGTCTGGTCTAACCTTTGTCTGAAGAGTTGGCTTCAGAAATATTTTAGTTCTGAATTAACAGAAAATCCAGGGGCCATGTCTTCTGGGGTTCCTCTAGTCTCAGTCA